GAACGGGAAGCGCCGTTTTTTATCCACCACGTGCGTCAGAGACCGTATTGGCGAGAACGTCAGAGAAACCCATAAACGCAACAGAACAGACTAAATGGTGGCCTGCCGCGCTGGTCTGTCGAGGTAGTCTGCTGCCCTGGCCACATCATGGTGTCGACACCGTGCTTTTCTCTCGGCCACGCGGGCCCCCACCCGTTGTCGCCCAGCCTACTTTTTCTGTTCCAGCCTGTCTTGTCTTTTGTTTGTCCGTCGTCGTCGTCGCGTGCCTTTCCTTTGTCGTGGTCGTCGTTTTCATTATAATCGTCCGCTGTTGCCGTTCTCGCTGTCGCCGTCGTTATCATTTTATGATTGCGGTCGTTTTTCTGATTGTTTTTTTGTTGTTGGATTCCGTGTTCGGTTGGTTTTTGTGTTATGTTTGTGGTCGTTTTCTGTCATCGTTTTTTGTCGTAATTTTCGAGATCGTTATTGACGAAGACGACGACGACGACGATGACGACGACGACGATCTGCCGTGCTTCTGTGGCGTCTGCGGTGCTCCTGTGGTCTGCCGTGCTCCTTCTTGGTTTGCCGTGCTCCTGTGTGGTCTGCCGTGCTCCTGTGCGGTCTTCCGTGCTCCTGTGGTCTGCCGTGCTCCTTTGGGGTCTGCCGTGCTCCTGTGGAGTTTGCCGTGCGAACGTGTGGTCTGCCGTGCTCCTGTGTGGTCTGGCGTGCTCCTGTATGGTCTGCCGTGCTCTTGTGTGGTTTGCCGTGCTCCTGTGTGGTCTGCCGTGCTTCCGTGGGGTCTGCCGTGTCCTGTGTGGTCTGCCGTGCTCCTGTGTGGTCTGCCGTGCTCCTGTGTGGTCTGCCGTGCTCCTTCTTGGTCTGCCGTGCCCATGTGGGGTCTGCCACGGCATAACGGACAGGATCACGGCAAACTCCACAGGAGCACGGCATACCATACAGGACTACAGCAGACCACGCATGAGCACGGCAGACTACGCACGAGCACGGCAGACCACAGGAGGACGGAGGATTACACAGGAGCAAGGCAGACCAGAGGAGCACGGCAGACCCCAAAGGAGCACGGCAGACCACACAGGATCACAGCAGACCCCACACGAGCACGGCAGAGTTTACAGGAGCACGGCAGACCACACAAGAATACGGCAGACCACACAGGAGCACGGCATAGCCATCGGAACATGGCGCAGCGGCTGCAGCCGATCTCCAAACGGGAGGCCAGGGCCCGCAGCCGTCGTCTCGAGCTCTCGTCTCGAACTCTACATTGGTTTGTGGTCTAGAAGTTACCCAGGGGACCAATCAGCAACACGTCAAGAAGTTATCCTGGGGGGCAAACCAGCAACACGTCAAGAAGTTATCCCGAAGGGGCAAACCAGCAACACGTCAAGAAGGTGCTGAGGGGGGCAAACCAGCAACACGTCAAGAAGTTATCCTGGGGGGCAAACCAGCAACACGTCAAGAAGTTATCCTGGGGGGGGCAAACCAGCAACACGTCAGGAAGTTATCCTGAGGGGGCAAACCAGCCACAGGTCCAAAAGATGCTGAGGGGGGCAAACCAGCAACACGTGAAGAAGTTATCCTGACGGGGCAGGTCTTGCAACACGTCAAAGGTTATCCTGAGGGGGGCAAACGAGCAACACGCCAAGAAGGTGCTGAGGTGGTCGACCACCAACACTTCAATAAGTTACCCTGAGGCAAAACCAGCCACTCGCCAAGAAGTCATCCTGAGGGGGCAAACCAGCAACACGTCAAGAAGGTGCTGAGGGGACAAACCAGCAACACGTCAAGAAGGTATCCTGGGGGGGGCAAACCAGCAACACGTCAATGCGGTATCCCGAGGGGACCAAACCAGCAACACCACTGCCGTGCTTCTTTGGTGTCTGCCGTGCTCCTGTGGTGTTTGCCGTGCGAACGTGTGGTCTGCCGTGCTCCTGTGTGGTTTGGCGTGCTCCTGTATGGTCTGCAGACCACCTGCTCATTTTCTGAGGACGTCCCGAGCGAAAACGTCATTTTTGACATAAGAGGTTCTAACGACAACAGAAGCTGGGACAACGAGAGAGAGCGCCACCTGGAGAGACAACGGAGTGCTCCCGCATGTCTCTCCTCAGATTGTGTTCCCAACGGCGCACGCGGTCGACCCAGTTCTTTGCGTCCTCCACCTTCGTGAACCCGAGCTCGTGCGGCTCCCCGCGGCTGCACGCCTCCACGCTCTCTCGCGCTTCCTGGGCTCGCTCAGACACCTTGAAGAACTTTTTCAAGTACTGTTCAATGCTGAGGAGCTTGTCGACCTGCTCGTACCACGTCTCCTTGTTTTCATTCCAGAACTCTTCGGACCACGATAACCACTCCGGGCACGTGTCGCTGCTCGACGATGGGATGTGAACTCGATTCAAGTCGCACTTGGGCGTCTTTCGACAGCAGACGGCACAGGCATCATGGACGCATCGTTCGTCCGTCTGCGCATTCTTGTACTGCGCCACACAAAACCTGCCCACCTGCGGACTGACCGCGTCCAGGCCCTCTGCGAGCGCCCGTTCCAGCACTGTCCTCCGGTACGTCTGGAGAATGTCTTCGCCGTCTCGTTGATGGAGATCATGCCTGCACTCCTCGAGCAGGTGCCGTCGCTTGTCGTCGTCGTCGGAGCCGCCCCACGGTTGCTTGCAGAAGCGGCAATGGTTCGGGTCCAGGTACTCGGGCGTCTCCGCGCACTTCGGCAAGGACCCGGGCTCGGGCTTTGCCAGAGCGAGGAGTACCTGCAAAGCGGGTGCGGATCGGGCGACGTCGTCGTCGAGCCTCTGCGGTCGCGGCTCGTCGGCGAGGAACTTCCTGCTCTCGTCACGGACGAGGTCTGCGAGCCTCTCCTCCCCGAAGCATTTCTTGCAAAAGTGCTGATATACCCTGTTGGTCCGGGCTGGTTTGACACGGCATCCGATGCACTTGGAGCCAGCTGCCTTCCAGCACACGTCGCACAGCGCCGCGCTCTTCTGGAAATGCGACGAGCACACAGAGCAGCTCCTCACGACTTTGGAGCAGCTCTCTGTTCCGCATTCGATCATGGACACCTGCAGCGGTTCCTTGGTGGCGGAGTCCTCGGTCCTGTAACAGAATGCGCACTCGGGGGAATCCCAATGTGTTTTACACAGGCCCGCCGCCCGCTGCTCTGGCGTTGTGCACTCAGGACACCACAGAGCGAGGTTGTCGCACATCTCGCACTGCGGGGTCTCCAGCGACGCCGGCGGCACAGCGCGGCAGACGGCGCACGAGCGCGCAGCGAAACAGGCCTTGCAAGCTCGCCGATATATCACTTCAGTTCGACCTCGCATCCGACCGCAGTGCACGCAGCACCGACCGTCCTGGGCCCAGCACGACTGGCACTTCGCTCTCGATTGCCCGTTAGACATGCCAGAACACGCGCTACAGAACACCACTGCTACGTCGCAAGATTCGTTGCTACACTTCGACCGAGTCAAGGAGCCAGCAGGAGTCGGCGCAGCGCAGTGCGAACAAGGAATCGAAGATGTAAAGCACTCGGAGCACAGCTTGAGATTGCGTTCCTCAGGCGAAGTGTGCGTCGGACACGCCATAGCACATCTTTTTCCCGCGGCCTGCGGGTGCTTCTCGCGTGACTCGCAGGCCACGCACAGCGCTGGTTCGTCTTCCTCGTTGCACCAGGTACACTCAGGGCAGCTGCGAGACCGATAACACGGCTTACACATGCCACCGCTGAGCTCGCGCTGCGCACCGCAGAATCGACAACATCCCTTTCTCTTCTCCTGCTTCTGGCGGTACAGAGTAGGATGCTTCTCCTTGTAGCAAGACTTGCAGTAACCGTCATAACCGGACTGAGCCTTGGGGGGCTCCTCACCACGGCGGGTCTTGTGATACCCTTTGCAATACTTGATCGTCTTAGCAGCACGCGCTGGACAAACAAGAGACCCACAGAACATCATATAGAACGCCAGTCGGAGCATGCCGAAAATAAACATCGGTAAGAATCGCCCCGAGGATCACCTACTAGAAAGTTGGATCTCACAGGGCTAATAGAAGCACCTCCACCGCGCACACCCTGCCGCAGCTTTGCAACCACATTGAGCCCAATACAACATGTGCCAACAACATAGAGCACGTGAGAGAGCGACCTTAATCGTCGAAGGCTATCAAGAGCACCCACGGCATTGCGCACTCGAAAAGAATTAAGGCGCGCTCCTGTGCCCTGCTATACTCCTGGCGTTGCCGTGCTGATTGGCCGTGTTGGTCTGGTGTGCTCCTGTGATACGCGGCGCCCCTGCGACCTGCACTGATCCTGAATGCTTTGCCGTGCTCCTGTGTGTTCTGCCGTGTTCCTGTGTGGCCTGCCGTGCTCTTGTGTTTTCTGCCGTGCTCCTGTTGGTCTGCCGTGCTCTTCTGTGGTCTGCCGTGCTCCTGTGGGTTCCGCCGTGCTCCTGTGGCGTCTGCCGTGCTCTTGTGTGAGCTGTGAGCTGCGGGGCCTGTGAAGGCTAAAAGGAGCCCGAGGCCCGCGGAGCCCGTTGGCCCCAGGGCCTCAAGGGCCAAACCTAGGGGCCCCTAAGGAGCCACCGCAGGGGAGGGCGCGAAGCGCCAGACGCGCGAAGCGCACGATTTCAAAGAAATCAAGAAGGCAGCAGGGGCCGAGGCGCGCAAGCACGCCCAACAAGCCCACCTCGCTGCAAAAGAGGCGCGGGGCAGAAGTTGCTGCCTCACGCACTCACAGTAAGAAGAAGACGAGGGGGGCGGACACAACAGGAAGAAGAAGATGATGCTGCATCACTCCCCCTCGTCATGATCAGCACGGCGGCGCCTCTTGCGCCTGTCCTCCGTGCTCTTCTGTGGTCTGCCGTGATCCTATGGGGTCTGCCGTTGTTCGGCCGTCTTGAGGGCACTCTTAGGGCATAGTCTGCCGTGCTCCTCGTCTTGGTCTGCCGTGCTCCTCGTCTTGGTCATCCTTTCTGGACGTGCAAGGCGTGCGGCACCAGTGCTCCCCCATGGACGAAGGAGTATCGCTCTGACAAGCCCCCCCCGCGGGCGGACGCAGACGGGTTCGTGCAGCAGCCCAGGGGAAGGGATGAGCAACGCGCTGCGAGGCGCTCGGACTCCCAGCGGGCCCTCTCGGGGAGCACCGCGCCCAGCAGCGCCCCCAACAGCAGGGCACGGCGCGCGCGGCCTTGGGGAGAGGCCAAGACGCAGAACGAGGAGCTGCAGGCGCAGCTCGATGCGGCCAGGGAGCGCGTCGCCACGCTCCAGGGGGCTTCGGCGCTCGGGCTCTCAGTGGACTTCCAGCGTGAGGCGGAGAACGCCCTCCAGCAGGGCAAGGACCAGGTCGCCGCCCTGGAGCGGTCCGTCCAGGAGGCCCAGCAGACGGAGCGCCCGCCTCACTCTGTGCTCCACATTGAGGCCAACGCCATCCAGAAGGTCGAGCGCCAGTTGGCCACGGCGCGTACCAGGAAGGAGAAGCTCCAGCTGCAGGCGTCCGAGCTGCGCGAGCTCATCGCGGAGAAGCAGGAGCAGCTATCGGCAGCCGAGTTGGGGGTTGATGAAGTCACTGGGCAGATTGCAGAGCTGGAAGAGACCAGGGCCAAGGTCACTCAGCAGGCGATCCAGCGGGCCAACGCAGCTGTCGGAGGCGTGCCGAGCCCGCTTGGTGACGCTGTCCAGGGGGTGCTCTCTCAGGTTGGCGCCCTTTCGGATCTCCTCAAGCAGCACGGCGCCGACCTGCCGCCCAGGTTTTCGGAGATCGTCGAGATTCTCAACACGCAGAAGGAGGCGGTCGCTGACGTGCTCAGGCCCCGAAGCAGCTCGGTCAGGAAGCGTTGGGGCGACAGCGTCGGTGAGGACGGCCTCGCGACTGAGGATGACGACATGCCGCTCGGCATCGTGGCCCCAGGTGGGCCTGCGGCCGCCCCTCCCGCGGCCGCCCCGCTGGCAGGGCCGACCGCGGCTGGGCCGCCAGCCGCGCGGGTCAGGCCAGCGGACGGACCCTACGGCCCTGCAGCGGCCCGTGGCCAACACGGGGCTACCCTGGGCACGTGGCCTCAGGTGGAGCCCAGCCTCACCAAGGCCCTCGCCGAGCAAGGGGCGGCCTTCACGGACGGCGACCCCTTGTTGGCTGCGGCTGCTGTCGTGGCTCCTGCTGCTGGGTACGGGCCGCGCCGTGGGTGATGCTGGAGCGTGGGAGTGGCCAGCTTCCACAGTCGGCCGCGATGTGGGGGCCAGCGAGACGCCATCCCCTCGGGATGTGCGCGGGCCCAGCTGTTGGGACAGGTGGAGGAGGCGCTGTGACGGCCGCTGGCGCGTCCGCGCCCCCCGCAGGCGGCGGGCGGCGCCGAGCACCCTCGCCCGAGGTAGCCAGCTGGCGCGGTCGGGATCACCGAGGTGGCCCCCCGACGGCCAGTCAGGGGCCGAGAGCGGTGGGATTCAGCCCCACGACGTCGCAGCTCTCGGCCCCGTTGGTGATGGGCATGCGCACCCCCCGCTGGCAACCGGAGGGGCGGAGGGACGGCCGCCTCCCCAGCCCTGCGATGGCGCGCCGCGGAGGGAGGGACGGCCACCTCCCGTTCTGGCGAGCGGCCCGCCGACGCCGCTGAGGAGCGCTGGAGCGAGGGGCCAGGTCCCCCTCCAGTCCTGGTGGGGGCGGAGGGTCCCGCGACCAGGAGCACAGCGGGCCCCGTGTCTGACGCTGATGGGCGGGCCGCTCGCGAGGCAGCTGTCATCGGCAAGGCGCCGCAGGTCGGCAGGGCAGGAGGCCAGCAGCTCAGAGCCGGCCTCGTCATGTTCGGCTGCAACGGCAACGCTTGGAGCAGGAGCGTTGAAGCCCTCGAGGCCTTCTTCAAGGCGTACGACTACTGGCCTGACGTCGTGGCGCTGCAGGAGACGAGGCTCCTGCGTGCGCGCCTGCCCAGTGCTGCGGCTCAGGCCCGCGGCCTGGGCTACGCGGCCTTCCTCCACGAGGCGGCGCCGACGGAGAAGCAAGGGCCCCAGGCGACCTCAGGCGGCGTGGCGATTCTGGTGCGAGACGGCTTGCAGGCCGACGAGTCGGCGCGCCCTTTGCCCTCGGCCTTGCGCCACCGCCTCATCGGGGTGGAGGTCGCTGCTGCCTCGGGCTTTCGGGTCCTGGTGCTGGCTGGGTACTTTCAGCACTCTGTGGGCCCTCGAGGCACCAACCTGGACTTGTTTTCGGCCATCTCGGAGGTGACGGGCTTTTCTGCCGACGTCCCGTGGGTCCTCCAAGCCGACTTCAACATGGAGCCCGAGCCACTGGAGGAATTGGGGTGGCCCGCTGCGGTGCGGGGGCATGTCCTGGGGCCCTCGGAGGCGACTTGCCATGCCGAGGGATGTGACCACCTCTACGACTGGTTCGTGGCTTCCTCGGCGATGGCAGCCTGCACGGCCTCCTGCGCCACCACGCTCGAGGGCTTCGGTCTGCACCCTCATCGCCCTGTCCTGCTTCGTCTCCAGGACGTTCGGGCAGATGCGTTGGTGGAGGTTCCGTCCAGGCCCGCACGCTTCCCCGAAGTTGCTCCTGAGCTCCTTCGGGCGCGCGAGGACGCGGAGATTGTGTGCTACTCGGTTGGCAAGAAAGGACAGGTCACGCCCAGGAGCGTCGCGTGGTCCTGGGACGCAGGCACTTCACCGACCAACCTCTCCGACGCCTTCAGCGAGTGGGCTGCGGCGGCAGAAGGCACCCTGGTCGGCATCCACGGCATCGTCCAGGCCGACTTGGCCCGTCACCTCGGCAGAGGAGAGGGGCCGCGGCTGACCCTCAAGCCCCTCAGTGCCTTGGTCAAGCGAGACGCCAGGTTCAGGTTCAGCCTCCTCACGCACCGCCTGCGGAGCTGCCTGGACGTTGCCCTCCAGCGGCTGCGCGCTGAGAGGACTGGCCGCTGGCACCCTCGGCATGCAGACTGGTACGGGCACCAGGCCATGCTCAGAGCGCAGCTCTTGCTGGAGGCGGTGCAGGAGGCTGCCGACTCGGACGGTGGAGCTCTTCCTGGCGCAGCTCCTGATCGACTGGGCGACCTGGTGTTTCAGGCGGGCGTCCACGGCAGCCCTGATGCCGCTCGGGACCTCCAAGGGCTGCTCGGAGCATCGCAGCGCCGCGACGCGGCTGAGAGCGCCCAGGCCTGGCGCAACTGGGCTCAGACAGCGGTTGAGAAGGGCGGTCGTCTGGCCCACCGCTTCTCGAAGGCGACGCCTCCGCCGACGGTCAGGGACGCTGACTCTGGCAGGAGGCTCGTTGGGATGGCAGCGATCGGCGAGCTCACGAGTGTCTGGCAGAAGCTGTGGCTCCAGGACGGCTTTGCCCTGGGCGCTGGGGCCAGCAGCTGGGACGTTGGCGAGTGGCGGCTGCCACCCATCTCGCTGGAGCAGCTCCAGGCGGCCTGCAAGCGCTACAGCCCCTCGGTGGGGCTCGGGTGCGACTCTCTGCACCCTCGGCAGATCCTTCTGCTGCCCGTGGCGCTGCAGCAGCGCATCCTGGACATCCTGGCGGCCTACGACGACGCCCCTGCATCGATCAGCGGGCAGGTCTCCCTGATGGTGTTCATCCCGAAGGCAGATGGAGGGGTAAGGCCCATTGCGCTGCTGCCGCTGGTCCTGCGGCTGTGGTCGCGCCTCCGCCAGCCGTGCTGCGCCCGCTGGGAGGCTGACCACGACTTCCCCTTTTTCTGGGGACGTGACGGGCGTGACTGTGAGCGGGCTGGGTGGCTGCACAACTGTTTTGCGGGGTTCGCGATGGCGAACCAGCAGTTCGAGGCCGCGAGCCTCTTCCTGGACATCAGCAAGTTCTACGAGCACGTGCGACATGATGTGCTCTGGGCGAATGCAGTACGTTTCGGGTTCAACCTCAGGCTGCTGCGTGGCCTCCTCACCTCCTACCAGGCCCCAAGGATGGTCCTCGCGGCGGGCATGGCTTCCCCCGCCTTCGGCACTACGGGTACGGTTCTGGCTGGGTGTGCGTGTGCGACAGCAGTTGCGAAGCTCCCAGTGCTGGGCGCCCTCCTGGCCGCGGGGGCGATGTGCCCTTTGATCACGCCGCGGAACGTTGTCGACGACATCTCGCTCCAGGCGGTCGGCACGGCCCGACTAGTCAAGCGTCAGTTGTTGGTTTCCAGCTGCGAAGTGGTCCGCCTGCTGCGTGAGCAGCACCTCCCACTCAACGAGAGTAAGTCGGTCTTCCTGGCCTCGTCGCCGCAGCTCGCCAAGGAGCTCTCCGAGGAGTGGGCAGCGCAGGGCCTTGCCTTCAAGAGGGGACTGCAGGCGAGGAACCTCGGCACCGACGCCAACATCACTCGTCGAGGCGTGCATGAAGGAGCTGGGCGTGCGGTCGGCGGCCTTCGGCGTGGCCGCAGGCTCGGGGTGCTTCGCTCCGCTGGGGCGGCGACCGAGATGGTCCACCGTGCTGGGCCCACCGCAGCGATGCTGTGGGGGCGTACCGTGACTGGTGTGCCTGATGGGGAGCTACATTCGTGGCGCTTGGCGGCGGCGCGCTCGGCCGGGAAGCTCCCCAAGGGTGCCTCACTCGGGCTGAGGCTCAGGGCGGCGGAGGTCATGCGGTCCATCGACCTCGACCCGAGCCCCGCGTTGCTTCGTGCCGCCGTGCAGATGGCGGCCAGCCTCCTGCAGTCGGGGGAGGTCTCGCAGCGCATGTTCGAGACGGCCGTGCAGGAGGCGGCGTGGAGGCACGCGGGAGCAGCAGCCCCATGGGCGCATTGCCGTACGCCAGTGGATGCCCTGGCTCTCTCGCTCACCAGGGTGGGCTGGAGACTCGTCCAAGGCACCTGCCTCGCCACCGACGACGGCCACTTCCTGGACCTGCGCATGATGGGGCCGCGCGAGCTGGGCCTGCTGGCAGCGGCAGGGGCGCGGCGTGCTTCGGACAGGTCGGAGCTGGCCCGCCTAGGCCATGGAGCGCTCCCCCCGATGCCCCTGTTCTGGGAGGCCTTCTCGGAGGTCCTCGGGTCGGGCAGCAAGCTCAGCCCCAGGGAGAAGGCGGCGGTGGTGAGTTTTCTCTCCAACGCCCACTGGCCCCAGATCCGTTTGCACTCGGCGGGGGAGAGGGAGCATGCTCGCTGCTGCGCGTGCGATGCACCCCGCGGCAGTCTCTGGCACAGGCTGTTCGAGTGTCCCGTCCTCGCGGGGCCGAGGCGCGACTCGACCTCCGACCGCCTGCGGCGCTGTGCACACCGTGCACGTGGCCGAGGTGAGGAGGCGGGGGAATGCTTTGCGCGCTGCTGGCTCCCTCAGCCCCCGAGGGCCGCTCTGAGGTCGGATGCCATGGCTGTCATGTGGTGCAATCGCCCCGTTGACGGTCTCCTCGGGGGGCGCCTCTACCTGGATGGGTCGGCGCTCGACCCCGAGCACGCGAGCCTGCGGCGTGCGGGCTGGAGCATCGTGCAGTGCGACTCCGACGGCAACATGGAGTGCGCGGTGTACGGCAGCGTGCGCCAAGACCTATGCCCTTTCCAGTCGGCCAAGGACGGTGAGGATTTCGCGGTCTGGATGCTGTCCCGCTTCCTGGGCCCGTGTGTGGACGAGACCCTCATCGATTGTGCGTCTACGGTCAGCTGCCTGACGTTGGGCAAGAAGTACGCGACGGCAGCCAACAAGCCCAATGCCCATCTCTGGTCGGGGATCTACGCTTCGCTGGACGTGGACATGCTTAAGGTTACCAAGGTGGCAGCCCACTGCACCGCCCGTGACGTGCTGGAAGGCAAGATCACGGAGGCGGACCTCCGCGGCAATGGTCATGCCGACCGCTGGGCCAAGGCAGGTGCGGCTCTGCACCGCTCCAGCCCCGTGGCCAGGCGGGAGTTCTTCGGCGCGATGGAGGTGGTGAGGGAGCTCTCATGCTGGGTGGCGCAGGTCCCCGCACCCGAGGTGGAGCCTGCCCGCCGCCGCCAGGTCGACTCGGGTTCGGGCGACGGGTGGGCCTCGGCGGCGCGCGCTGGTGGAGTATCCCTCGGTGCGACGGCCCTCGTTTTCGCTGGCCACGTCCTGGCCTTCGCCAGGTGCGGGGAGGGCGCCGCCGAGCAGGAGCTGATGGCGCGCACCCACTGCGGGGCGTACGCGCGGCTTGGCGGGCGCTCAGGCGCGGCGCCCAAGCTCAAGGAGCAATGCCCAGGGTCTGCTGGGCTTCCCAAGGGCAGGCGCGACCAGAAGGCACGCTGGCTGCAAGGGCGGCATCCTGCTGGCACGCCCCACAGCGGCAACAAGCGGGTCGGCGCGGCGGTGCCCAGCCTTCGCGAGGAGGACGTGGTGCCGATGGACGCCAGGGTGCGCTTCCTGCAGTGGCTGGGCGTCCGCCCCGAGGACGGTGCCCCTGGCGGCGATGCCGCCTGCGCCAGCCACGGGCCCCCCAGCGGCGCGCCGGCCGCTGGCGAGGCTGCGGCGGCGCCGCTGGTGCCTGGCCCCGCGGGGGCCTCGAGGGAGGCATGGCTGAGCGCCTACGGCCTGGACGAGGCGAGCCTCCTCGAGTGGTCGGCCGCGGCCGAGGAGGCGCGCGAGGACAGGCGCAAGCGGCGCCGCCGCGCTGATGAAGACGAGGGGGCGTGATGCAGCATCATCATCTTCTTCCTGTTGTGTCCGCCCTCCCTCGTGGTCTGCAGGTAGCAGACACCTTCATTCTGTGAGTTAGTGAGGTCAGGCGTGTTTGGCGTGTGCAATGCGTGTGCTGGCCGATGTGAGGTTTCGGGAGGCTGCACCGTCATTTTGTTGTGTGCGTCAGCCCTCTCGTCGAGGTCAGGCCTGTTTGGCTTTGGCAACGCGTGCGCTGACCTCACCTCGTGGTGCGTGAGGCCTTTCGTCATTTGTCGTGAGTGTGGGCCTCGCGTCTTGTTTGCAGCGAGGCAGGCATGGTTGGCCTCGCTATGCGTGCCCTCGCCTCCGCCTGCATTCTTGATTTCTTTGAAATCTGGGCGCTTCGCGCTTCTGGCGCTTCGCGCCCTCCCCGCGGTGGCTCCTTCGGGGCCCCGTTAGTTGGCTCTGGAGGCCCTGGGGCCAACGTGCTCCGCGGGCCTCGGGCTCCTTTAGCCTTCATAGGCCCCGCAGCTCACAGCTCACACCTCGATTTTTTGAGGATGTCTCGAGCGAAATGGCCGTGGTCTGCCGTGCTCCACACGGGAGCACGGCAGACCACCTGCTCATTTTCTGAGGACGTCCCGAGCGAAAACGTCTTTTTTGACATAAAAGGTTCTAAAACACCTCTGTCGGCATCTCATTTTTTCGAGGATGTCTCGAGCGAAACGCTCATTTTTCATGCATAACAAAAATTTTTGATATTTTTCAACATCCCGATTTTTTGAGGATGTCTCGAGCGAAACCGTCATTTTTGACATAAGACGTCTTAAACGATAGCCTCCAACACCTCGATTTTTCGAGGATGTCTCGAGCGAAATGGCCATTTTGGGGGCCAATGAACCTGACCGGACAAGAACGGGAAGCGCCGTTTTTTATCCACCACGTGCGTCAGAGACCGTATTGGCGAGAACGTCAGAGAAACCCATAAACGCAACAGAACAGACTAAATGGTGGCCTGCCGCGCTGGTCTGTCGAGGTAGTCTGCTGCCCTGGCCACATCATGGTGTCGACACCGTGCTTTTCTCTCGGCCACGCGGGCCCCCACCCGTTGTCGCCCAGCCTACTTTTTCTGTTCCAGCCTGTCTTGTCTTTTGTTTGTCCGTCGTCGTCGTCGCGTGCCTTTCCTTTGTCGTGGTCGTCGTTTTCATTATAATCGTCCGCTGTTGCCGTTCTCGCTGTCGCCGTCGTTATCATTTTATGATTGCGGTCGTTTTTCTGATTGTTTTTTTGTTGTTGGATTCCGTGTTCGGTTGGTTTTTGTGTTATGTTTGTGGTCGTTTTCTGTCATCGTTTTTTGTCGTAATTTTCGAGATCGTTATTGACGAAGACGACGACGACGACGATGACGACGACGACGATCTGCCGTGCTTCTGTGGCGTCTGCGGTGCTCCTGTGGTCTGCCGTGCTCCTTCTTGGTTTGCCGTGCTCCTGTGTGGTCTGCCGTGCTCCTGTGCGGTCTTCCGTGCTCCTGTGGTCTGCCGTGCTCCTTTGGGGTCTGCCGTGCTCCTGTGGAGTTTGCCGTGCGAACGTGTGGTCTGCCGTGCTCCTGTGTGGTCTGGCGTGCTCCTGTATGGTCTGCCGTGCTCTTGTGTGGTTTGCCGTGCTCCTGTGTGGTCTGCCGTGCTCCCGTGGGGTCTGCCGTGTCCTGTGTTGTCTGCCGTGCTCCTGTGTGGTCTGCCGTGCTCCTGTGTGGTCTGCCGTGCTCCTTCTTGGTCTGCCGTGCTCATGTGCGGTCTGCCGTGCTCCTGTGCGGTCTTCCGTGCGAACGTGTGGACTGCCGTGCTCCTGTGTGGTCTGCCGTGCTCTTGTGGTCTGCCGTGCTCATTTGGGATTTGCCGTGCTCATGTGGGGTCTGCCGTACTCCTGTGTGGTCTGCCGTGCTCCGGTGGTCTGCCGTGCTCCTTTGGGGTCTGCCTTGCTACTGTGGGGTCTGCCGTGCTCCTGTGTGGTCTGCCGTGCTCCTGTGGTTTGCCTTGCTCCTGTGTGGTCTGCCGTGCTCCTTTTGGGTCTGCTCTGCCGTGCTCCTGTGGGGTCTGCCGTGCTCCTGTGGGGTCTGCCGTGCTCTTGTGGGGTCTGCCGTGCTCTTGTGTGGTCTGCCGTGCTCCTTTGTGGTCTGCCGTGCTCCTGTGTGGTCTGCCGTGCTCCTGTGTGGCCTGCCGTGCTCTTGTGTGAGCTGTGAGCTGCGGGGCCTATGAAGGCAAAAAGGAGCCCGAGGCCCACGGAGCCCGTTGGCCCCAGGGCCTCAAGGGCCAACCCTAGGGGCCCCGAAGGAGCCACCGCAGGGGAGGGCGCGAAGCGCCAGACGCGCGAAGCGCAAGATTTCAAAGAAACCAAAATCAAAGGTGCAGGAAACGGGAAACACACACGCATTGCAACAGCCGAACATGCATGCCCACCGGCCTCACTCACGATGTCCTGCATCCAGCAGGCTCCGCATGCGAAAGAAGGCCTTACACAACAGATCAACAGAACAATGCCGCCTCACAATCACAACAATGAGCAGGGAACGGGAAACACACACGCATGGCAACAGCCGAACATGCATGCCCACCTGCCTGACTCACGATGTCCTGCCTCAAGCAGGCTCCACAAGCATGAGAAGGCCAAACACATCAGAACAACAGAACAATGCCGCCTCACGATCACTTCAATCCACCAAAAGCGTTGAGGCGCACGGGCAAAGAATAACGCCTGACACAACATTACGAGAGCACCCGACAGTGCGGCCCAGCGCGCATCCCAATTCCCGCAGCCACAAAAACACCACAAAAGCAGGACAATTCCAAAGGAGAGAACGACAGCGCTGCCAAGGCCGAACACCAGCAATCACTCATCCACGGAAATGGTCTGCCTGAGCGGCGGCAGCCCAGCCCGAGCCTCGGCTAGGTCAAGCAGCGCGCCAACCGCAGCGTAAGGCCCCCAGGCCACCGCTTCCATGGTGCCGAGGTCGACGGGGTCGAGGAAGAGGGAGTACGCTTCGCCCACGCCTGCAGCAGGCGCGGCGGAGCCACCGCTTCCGCCCCCCCGCAGGAGGGCACCATCGTACCGGTCCAGGAAGTCCAAGACGGCCGCGCTGGGCGCCGAGGCGGCGCCGGGGAGAGAGAGGGAGCATGCCGTGGCAGCATCAGCTCCCAGGTCTCGCACGTCGCCACCGTTGCTGCCCTCGCCGTCGCTGACGCTGTCGGTGACCCCGTTGCCGAGGAGGACAGCCGGACAGCTTGCGGGGGCCCCCAGGCGCTCCAAACCCGGCAGCGGCGTCGCAGCGCAAGCAGTACCGCTCGCCAGGGGGCTCTCTGCGGGCGCCTCCTGGCAAGGAGGCCCGCTCACACTCAACAAATCACACGAGGAGAAGACCACTGCCCCGCAAGTGCAGACGAGGCCGGGCCACGCATCCGCCGCGAAGGCAAGGTCGCACACGTCCCCTCCGCCTGCTGCCCAGCGGCCAGGGGGCCGCAGAGGCCAGAAAGGCGCCGCGCCCCTGCGGAGCTGGGCGGCCGCGGCCTGCCCCGCGCACTGCGCCAGCAGGATCCGCGAGGGAGGCTCGGCCACGCAGACCTCGATCTGGATGTCCACGGCCGCCTTCGGCACATCGAGCGGCCTCGGCAGAAGGGGTTCATGCCGAGCACGGTCGCCGTCGCCCTTGACCAACATGCCGAGCTTCAGGAACTCGGGCCCGAGGTCCAGCGACTGGGCAACGGCTCGCAGGGCGTCCCCAAGCCGATGATGATGCATGCCGAGGGCCGCGTCTGCGCGATGGTGGAGCAGCAGCGCTTGGCCAAGCTGCACCAACCGCCCCGCGAGGGCATCGCGGAGCTCGTCCGAGGGGCGAAGCGCCGCAGCAGCCGACGCGGCCGCCGCCTCCGCCTCCATCCTGTCGCGAGCAACGTGGCGGGCCTGGTCCAGCTGCCCCTCGAGCTCGCGGATCCGCGCGCAGGCAGCCGCCAGCCCTTTGTCGCAGGAGGCCAGGGCCCTCCTCCTCGCCGCCGTGCGCTCAGCACGTGAGCGCCGCGGCCTCGCCAGATGGGAATCGCCAGGAGGCGACTCCGCCCGCGCCATCGATCCCAAGCGCGCGCGCCCAGGGCGGCTTGAGCCAAAATGGCTACGGACCCGTGCTCTTGTGTGGTCTGCCGTGCTCCTGTTGGTCTGCCGTGCTCTTCTGTGGTCTGCCGTGCTCCTATGGGGTCTGCCGTTGTTCGGCCGTCTTGAGGGCACTCTTAGGGCATAGTCTGCCGTGCTCCTCGTCTTGGTCTGCCGTGCTCCTCGTCTTGGTCATCCTTTCCGTCGTCTTGAGGGCGCTCTTGGTGCCTCGTCTGCCGTGCTCCTCGTCTTGGTCTGCCGTGCTCCTCTCGGTTCCTAAGCCTGGTCTGCCGTGCTCCTCGTCTTGGTCTGCCGTGCTCCTCTCGGTTCCTACGCGCGGTCTGCCGTGCTCCTGTGGGGAGCACGGCAGACCACAGGTGCCGTGCTCCTATGGGGTCTGCCGTTGTTCGGCCGTCTTGAGGGCACTCTTAGGGCATAGTCTGCCGTGCTCCTCGTCTTGGTCTGCCGTGCTCCTCGTCTTGGTCATCCTTTCCGTCGTCTTGAGGGCGCTCTTGGTGCCTGGTCTGCCGTGCTCCTCGTCTTGGTCTGCCGTGCTCCTCTCGGTTCCTAAGCCTGGTCTGCCGTGCTCCTCGTCTTGGTCTGCCGTGCTCCTCTCGGTTCCTACGCGCGGTCTGCCGTGCTCCTGTGAGGAGCACGGCAGACCACAGGAGCAAGGCAGACCACACAGGAGCACGGCAGACCACACCTCGATTTTTTGAGGATGTCTCGAGCGAAATGGCCGTGGTCTGCCGTGCTCCACACGGGAGCACGGCAGACCACCTGCTCATTTTCTGAGGACGTCCCGAGCGAAAACGTCAAAACCCCCGTGCAACCCCGCAACCCATAGATATAAAGATATATATATATATATATATATATATATTTACTCAAGGATTCAGCCAGAACGTCCCGCTTGCTTCTCGTACCTCGAAGACGCTTCCCGTCATCCGCCAATGAAAACCCCCGTGCAACCCCGCAACCCATAGATATAAAGATATATATATATATATATATATATATATATACTCAAGGATTCAGCCAGAACGTCCCGCTTGCTTCTCGTACCTCGAAGACGCTTCCCGTCATCCGCCAACGAAAAACCTGACCGGACAAGAACGGGAAGCGCCGTTTTTTATCCACCACGTGCGTCAGAGACCGTATTGGCGAGAACGTCAGAGAAACCCATAAACGCAACAGAACAGACTAAATGATGGCCTGCCGCGTTCCGACGGCCCAAGACGGCCCAAGAGGCCCCCAAGATCGCTTTAAGATCGCCCAAGAGGCCTTCAAGATGGCCCCGAAACGGCCCAAGAAGTCCCCAAGACGGTCCCAAGAGGGCCCTAACACGGCGCAAGAGGCCTCCAAGACGCCCAAGATGTCTTCCAAGACGGCCAAGATGGCCTCCAAGACGGCTAAGATGGCTCCAAGAGGGCCCCAAGACGGCCCAAGAGGCCTCGAAGACGGTCTGCCGTGCTCCTGTGGTCTGCCGTGCTCCTTTGGGGTCTGCCGTGCTCCTGTGGAGTTTGCCGTGCGAACGTGTGGTCTGCCGTGCTCCTGTGTGGTCTGGCGTGCTCCTGTATGGTCTGCCGTGCTCTTGTGTGGTTTGCCGTGCTCCTGTGTGGTCTGCCGTGCTCCCGTGGGGTCTGCCGTGTCCTGTGTGGTCTGCCGTGCTCCTGTGTGGTCTGCCGTGCTCCTGTGTGGTCTGCCGTGCTCCTTCTTGGTCTGCCGTGCTCATGTGCGGTCTGCCGTGCTCCTGTGCGGTCTGCCGTGCGAACGTGTGGACTGCCGTGCTCATTTGGGGTCTGCCTTGCTCCTTTGTGGTTTGCCGCGCTCCTGTGTGGTCTGCCGTGCTCCTGTGTGGTCAGCAGACCCAGGGCTGAGGGAAGGCTGGAGCAGTGCTCTGGTGGTCCATCACCCGCCCAGCTCCGTCCCCTCCCACTCTGGACCGATCTTGCGGGAAGCTGGCTTGTGGCAGCGCATCGCGCGTCCATAGCGTTCGTGTGCTTGCTTTTACCTCCTTTAATGTCTGCTCCACCTCTCCTTGAGACGCAGAAGCCTCCGAGCGCCGGGAGCAGAAATGATGCACTTTCGAAAAATCTGTTTGGATGAGTTTTGTTAGCGCGGCCTCGGAATTCAATTTTTCCGGCGACGGCCAGAGCCGACGCCAGCGCTGGATCCGGCTCGGCCGCCAGCCCAGGTGCCGGCCCGGGCGTTCGGTTCGAGCGCCGGCCTGGGTGCCGGAATCGGCCCGGAAGGGTTCCAGGGCGCCGGGAGCAGAAAATCAATATTTTCGAAAGAAAAATATGTCTTGGAGTGGCCTTTTTTCCGCACCGCCTCGGAATTCAATTTTCCGGCGCCGGCCGGCGCCGGAACCGGCCCGGGCGCTGGCCCGGGTGCTGGCCCAGGCGTTCGGCTCGAGCGCCGGCCCGGGTGCCGGAAGCGGCCCGGAAGGGGTTCCCGGGCGCCGGGAGCAGAAAATCAATATTTTCGAAAGAAAAATATGTCTTGGAGTGGCCTTTTTTCGGCACCGCCTCGGAATTCAATTTTCCGGCGCCGGCCGGCGCCGGAACCGGCCCGGGCGCTGGCCCGGGTGCTGGCCCGGGCGTTTGGCTCGAGCGCCGGCCCGGGTGCCAGAAGCGGCCCGGAAGGGGTTCCCGGGCGCCGGGAGCAGAAAATCAATATTTTCGAAAGAAAAATATGTCTTGGAGTGGCCTTTTTTCGGCACCGCCTCGGAATTCAATTTTCCGGCGCCGGCCGGCGCCGGAACCGGCCCAGGCTGCCGTGCTCCTGTGTGGCCTAGCCCGTGATTTCCTGAGGACGTATAGGTGCTCTTTTGGGGTTCTGCCGTATCATTTGGGTCTGCCGTGGCTCCGGTGGCGGCCGTGTCATAGTGCGGGTTGCCGGCCGGCCTGTGAGATCTGCCGTGATCATGTTGGGGAAACGCCAGCGGCGTTCGGGGTACAACAAAAAGGCGAGTTATGTTGTACCCGCGGCGGGTCTGGCAAGTGCTCCTGTGGGTTCCGCCGTGCTCCTGTGGCGTCTGCCGTGCTCCTGTGGCGTCTGCCGGGCTCCTGTGTGGTCTGCCGTGCTCCTTTGTGGTCTGCCGCGCTCCTGTGGAGTCTGCCGTGCTCCTGTGTGGTCTGCCGTGCTCTTGTGGTCTGCCGTGCTCATTGGGATTTGCCGTGCTCATGTGGGGTCTGCCGTACTCCTGTGTGGTCTGCCGTGCTCCGGTGGTCTGCCGTGCTCCTTTGGGGTCTGCCTTGCTACTGTGGGGTCTGCCGTGTTCCTGTGTGGTCTGCCGTGCTCCTGTGGTTTGCCTTGCTCCTGTGTGGTCTGCCGTGCTCCTTTTGGGTCTGCTCTGCCGTGCTCCTGTGGGGTCTGCCGTGCTCCTGTGGGGTCTGCCGTGCTCTTGGGGGGTCTGCCGTGCTCTTGTGTGGTCTGCCGTGCTCCTTTGTGGTCTGCCGTGCTCCTGTGTGGTCTGCCGTGCTCCTGTGTGGCCTGCCGTGCTCTTGTGTGGTCTGCCGTGCTCCTGTTGATCTGCCGTGCTCTTCTGTGGTCTGCCGTGCTCCTAGTGGTCTGCCGTTGTTCGGCCGTCTTGAGGGCACCCTTAGGGCATAGTCTGCCGTGCTCCTCGTCTTGGTCTGCCGTGCTCCTCGTCTTGGTCATCCTTTCCGTCGTCTTGAGGGCGCTCTTGGTGCCTGGTCTGCCGTGCTCCTCGTCTTGGTCTGCCGTGTTCCCTACAGGAGCACGGCAGACCGCGCGTAGGAACCGAGAGGAGCAAAGCAGACCAAGACGAGGTAGCCACGGCAGGACCGGTTAGGAACGAGAGGGACGGCAGACCACAAGGAGCACGGCAGACCACCACCTCACCACCACCTCGATTTTTTCGAGGATGTCTCGAGCGAAATGGCCGTGGTCTGCCGTGCTCCACACGGGAGCACGGCAGACCACCTGCTCATTTTCTGAGGACGTCCCGAGCGAAAACGCCTTTTTTTGACATAAAAGGTTCTAAAACACCTCTGTCGGCATCTCATTTTTTCGAGGATGTCTCGAGCGAAACGCTCATTTTTCATGCACAACAAAAATTTTTGACATTTTTCAACACCCCGACTTTCTGAGGATGTCTCGAGCGAAACCGTCATTTTTAACATAAGACGTCTTAAACGATAGCCTCCAACACCTCGATTTTTCGAGGATGTCTCGAGCGAAATGGCCATTTTGGGGAACCTGACCGGACAAGAACGGGAAGCGCCGTTTTTATCCACCACGTGCGTCAGAGACCGTATTGGCGAGAACGTCAGAGAAACCCATAAACGCAACAGAACAGACTAAATGATGGCCTGCCGCGCTGGTCTGACGAGGTAGTCTTGCTGCCCTGGCCCAAAGCATGGTGTCGAAACACGCACGTGCTTTTCTATCGGCCACGGGGCCCACCTTGGTCGCTCAGCCACTTTTTCTGTGCCAGCCTGTCTTGTCTTTGTTGTCCGTCGTCGTCGTTTCGAGTGCCTTCCTTGTCGGTGGTCGTCGTTTCCATTATAATCGTCCGCTGTTGCCGTTCTCGCTGTCGCCGTCGTTATCATTTTATGATTGCGGTCGTTTTTCTGATTGTTTTTTTGTTGTGGGATTCCGTGTTCGGTTGGTTTTTGTGTTATGTTTGTGGTCGTTTTCTGTCATCGTTTTTTGTCGTAATTTTCGAGATCGTTATTGACGAAGACGACGACGACGACGATGACGACGACGACGATCTGCCGTGCTTCTGTGGCGTCTGCGGTGCTCCTGTGGTCTGCCGTGCTCCTTCTTGGTTTGCCGTGCTCCTGTGTGGTCTGCCGTGCTCCTGTGCGGTCCTCCGTGCTCCTGTGGTCTGCCGTGCTCCTTTGGGGTCTGCCGTGCTCCTGTGGAGTTTGCCGTGCGAACGTGTGGTCTGCCGTGCTCCTGTGTGGTCTGGCGTGCCCCTGTATGGTCTGCCGTGCTCTTGTGTG